TCGGAGGCTGTGACCGTCCGAAGGTCCGAGACGCGATGTGATTTACTGTTGATTCAGGACTTGCGGCTTCAGCATTTGACAATACAACAAGATGTTTTGAAAGCAGGTGCTACTCTAGAGACAAGAGGGCCAGGAAAGACTCAGAGTGAAAGCAGCAGAGGAATGAAGACGTCTTAACAGCCCTCGTATCTTGTGAGCCCCTCCATACGTTTGTGCCCAGTCGTCGAAAAGGTCGCCTCAATTGGGCGACGCGAGATAAAGAGGAATTTGAAGGGGTTCCGCGGATCGTTTCGAAGAAGTGCAGTTTTGGACATGACCGTTACTCCAGGTGCAGCGACGCCGTCGTACTCTAATGAAAATCAGAAGAGGTGGCGTATGGAGAAATGGAACACACCACAGAGTCGATCTTTGCAGTCGCAAAACAACGGAAAAGGTTATTCTGTTGATTTCTCGTCAGCATAGACAGAGTAAGTCGAGAAATCACACTCACGTTGCCAATGAGCACCAGGAGCCCGGAGAAAAAGAGCAGTAGAATAAAGTAAAGTAGTAAAAATATGTACGAAAGAATACGTAGAATTTTGCATCGTAGTAAGTAGTGCACAAAAGGGCGCAGTGGTGACTCGGCGAATGCACAATCTTGCAAGATAGATGTATACGAAAATATGGCCGTTACGGTCGTAAAAAGAAAAAGAAAAAATGTATGTAGGCGGCGAATAGAGTCAAGCCTCAGACTGCAGCAGGCGACATTGTAGTCAAGCCTTGGAACATGGGAGGCGACATGAAGTCGAACCTGCCTGGATGGAGTGGGTTGGACGTACCGTTGGTGAGTCAGGTTGAAATTTGAAAGAATTACTGGTACTTGAGGCTAGAAATGTCAAAACATGAGGGCGTTTCGATCGCAAGGAGAGTTTTGTTACACACTGTATTGAAGGTCCATGCATTTTCATGCAGATTCTTTCTCCATAGGAAGGCGTTGAGACTTGTGGTGACTACTGAAAGCTTGTAGGTTGAGTGAAAATGAACTTGAAGGAGAGAGCAGAGAGGTTGTCGACGGTCTCCGTCAACGACAAAGAGAGAAGTGATGCTGTCACGGTGGTCACACGCCGCTGTCCACCCGAGATCGAGCTCGGTGTACCCTCAGCATTGGAGAGAGCGACAAATGCGTGGAGGACCGTTGGGCATCAGGAGACATCAGGAGAAGAAGACAGTTTCCCACCTTACCGCGCAAGTTAAACGATGGTAAACGGCGCGAGTGTGTTTTCACGTGAGATTCACGTGCACCGTGTCGAGAATTGTCCACCGTGGACAATTTTTTGCGTCTATACAACTCCAGTTAGTTCGAGATTGGCAGACGGTTTGATGCAGCTCAAGGGGTTGGCGAACTTACGTTGAATTGCAAAGACCAATTTGCATTCCACTATATGTAGAAATACAGGCAATTTTCACTGTGCTACTTCGACGGCAATCGCCACGCGCTACCCCCTCCCATCGCCGGCTCCTAACGCCGCTAAACACAGGTCGATCATGCACCGCCCGCCCATAGTGTCACCGCGTTCACCAATCCCGCCGCCGTAGTCAATCCCTGCAACAAGGATCAGTTGCGATATCCAAGTTGTGCGGCGAAGCTTGTAATGGAATTGGCCGAGAGTTATGAGTGTTCAGAACACCGCATCCAAACCAGAGGTAGATGCACTGCCAAAGTCGGGTCTAGGTCGACTGTGTCGGGGGGGGGACGTCGCCTTAGCAGGAACATTGACAGGGTAGCCAAGGACGAAGTCGGCGACGCGACGAGAGCGCGGCCATGGTGATAGGTGACAGGCGAGAGGCGAAAAAGAAAGAATAGACAGACGTACCGTAGTCCCCGCAGCTCTCCGTTTCTTTGCGAGACGAGTTTCTTCTGCCCTCGTAGTAATCAGTAAAAGTAGCGAGTGAGGAAAAAGAGGGGAGCGACGACTCGTCTCTGCGCCCACGAGCTCAAGTCCAGAGAAAGCCGCTGTTTTGGAGGTAGAAGACACGATTCATGGAACGCGGCTGCCATAGTCGCGTCATCCAGTGGGGGATTGGCGAAACGCACCTTTGCTCCCTGCTGTTTCCACCTGCGACTTGAACGCTGAGGGACACCAGAGGTTTTTTGTCAGCCGAGCGGGTTTGTTAATTCCAAGCGACGACTCACAAGCTCGTAGCTTCAGAAGCCCAGTGTGAACACACGACGTTGGAATAAGAGCGGTTGGTGGGGCAGTTGCTTCCGACGAGGACGACTGAAGTTTCATTTGGAGACGGAGTAGCAAAGGATTAAAAATCAGGCGAAGAGAGGGAGGAATTCACGGATGTCCGTGAATTTTGAACGCGTCAAGTCACAGCGACGCGTTTGTTTACGTTGGTGTAACAAAGTCACTGGTGTCAACAGTACTTGGTTGAATGAAAACTCGGCAAACTAAGACTTACATTGCTGAATGTGCCAGCCTAACCATTCCCGCCATCCAACAATCTCCACCTCTTCACCATGTCTTGGAGCTGTTTTTCCTTCAGTTGTTGCAGGCCAGTGTGTGTGTGAGAGACAGGTGAGCAGATCTTCAGGCAAGGAAGCAGGGAGGTAGCAGTAGGTCAAGCACCAGAGACAGCTGGTACTACAGTAGGAGGGGAACGCGACAGCATTCATGCAAGGAATGAGCGTGGAAGTGATGGGTGACATGTCACATTGCGTGACCCATCATCAATATCGTCCCAATTTGGAATTAGAACACAATTCGGCGTATCTCTGTTGAGTTTCACCTGTTTTGTGTATGTTCGGTGCTTGAGTAGGTGTAGGAAAGTATTGAGACACTATACTGCGAGTTTCGGAGTAAAAACATGCATTTACCGCGTTTCTTGGCCGTTTGAGCTGGTTTTTGCTTCTTTTTGCTTCCTGGGACTTCCCCGCATCTAGAATGAGGTCTATTGAAGCCAGAAGATTGCGAAGGGCGACGCGAGTCTGCCCAGTCAAATTGATTGGAAGAACAACATGAGGTTTGACAACAAAGTCCCGCTCTATATGGACGGTTTCGAGAGGTGTGCTAAAATGATGTTGAAGGAGAGCGGTCTCGACTAAATTGACTCGAAACCGGCATTGTTATCCGACGTAGGTAAAGCTCAAGGGAAGTTGGAGTGGACGGATTTGTTGAGGGAGAAGTTAGAAGTCGCCGTTGCTCAATATTATACGCAGTGTTTCTATGATTTGTTTGTGCCACCAGCTGTGATTCCCATGTGTATCTCTCATCGATTTGAATAGGTGTATATCTACTTTGTATCTTTAGTAACAATTGAAGCATTTACTGTATCAAAAGGGTTTGCCATCCATCCCCCCCTGAGGAGGCCCTTGGACCGACGTGGATACAAACGCGGAGACTGATGGCGGTGGGGCGGGGTGAAGCGGCGCCGACGGTAACCGTTGGTCTGGACGCGGAGTCATAGCTCAGTTTGGGAGAAAAAAGCCGAAATAAAATAACATAGCGGACGCGTGGTTATCTACTACATGTATAGTTATGTCTCAAAGATACATGTTTTATTTACCTCAGACTCCGTCTGGATTGTGCTGGTAGGGTGATTGTGAGTGTTAAGACTCCCCAACAAAATGTACGATGTACCTGTGTTGCCTGACCAGCCGCGTTGAGGCTTACGCGCCTATGTTTTCGTGGCTGCTGAGAATCACTGGCTAAACCATCGAGAACGGAACGGTACGCGGCTGCCGTCGTCGTGCGATCACGGACCTTTGCTCTCCATGCTGTCGACTTGAGCGGTGACAATCAGAAAGTTGGGTGAGCGGGTTTGTTAATTCCAAGTGAATAGTAGCAGAATACCCACAAACTCGTTGATCTGCGACCATGTTGAGACTGGACTGCGAGGCGGAACCCAAAATTTGTGACGTTGGAATAAGGGGGACGTGGTTGGGTGATGCAATTAACTTCTGACGAAGGCTTGAGAGGACAGACACAGAAGAGGGGCGTGGATGTGATATTGATGTGAAAAGAGAGATTCACGGACGTCCGTGAATTCTGAACGCGTCGAGTCACAGCGACGTGTTCCTTCACGTGGGTGTAAACAAAGTCACTGGGTCAACATTACTTGTTAGGATAGAAACTCGGCGTAGTGTCAAGAGACTCACAGTATTGAATGCTCAATCCAATCACCCAACTTCCAACAGTCTCCAGCATGAATTCGAGTTGCTTCTTCAATCTGGTCCAGGGAACAGCAGTGTTGAGATTGGCAAGAGAGTTGAGGGGTGAATAGCTCGTCAGTGAAGGAGGCAGAGATCAGCCAGAAAAAGTAGGAGTAGGTTGGCAGCAGAGAAAGCTTTAAGGCAGAGGAGAACGCGACAGTCTACTCGGCATTCATGTTGTTCGAGTCTTCGACGTGGCGTGTCACGCATGTCACAAGTCGTCACCACATCATCAATATCTTCCCGTTTTGGAAGGTTCGCAAAAATACGTGCTATGGCAATTCTCCTTCTTGAGACCCGTAAAAATACCTTTTGGTGCGTACTGTGAATCACTTGTTAATTTCAAGTACTCTGACCAATCTTAGGACATTTTTGAGCTCTGATCTGCATGGCACAATGTTGCCCTTGAATGAGCCACTGCCAGAAGATCAGCTGAGAGGTGGAGCGCGAGGTGGAAGAAGAAGGGCCCAACCCACACCAAGGGATCTGAGAGCTGTCCGACAAGATGCAGTCAGAGACGGTACTGGTACTTGAACTACAAAAGGCAAGCATAGTACGGGAACCAAGAAGAATGTCGAAAAGGCAAAGAGCTATCAAGCGGTGAGGGAAAAGCAAGGGGCTCAACGGGCATATTGGAAGGCGTGATAGTTGCATGTATGGGTTGTCGTAAATAAATTCAAGAGCATGTGCTGTGTTTTATTTTCACTGATGGATTCGGTCAGTACCACTGTCAGTTGGGTATTCTTCCAGGGATTCCCTGGAAATCCTTCAACCTTCCATAGCCTTCACTCCAGTTGCAAGAATCGCTGCTGTAGCACAAAGGTAGTGCACCGCTTTCCTAATTTGGAAGTCTCAGGCGGAGGCTGTGGGTTCGAGTCCCATCAGCAGTTTAGCGTTTTACCGAGGGTCGTGAACACATCTTTTTTCAGTTAAGTCATCGAGTAGTTGGTCAGCAGTCTGGTGGGCTTTTACCCTGCCACGACCGCCAAGGAGTTTTACACCGCTGATTGAAACTGGGTTCAAGGCCCGCAACATGTTCCAGTGTAAAGTTGTAAGTTACCTCCAGCGACACTTTCCTAATCCGGAAGTGGTCAAGAAGTGGTTCTGACTTTGTTGTATCTGTCGAAATTTTCGCAGGGGAGCATTAATGAATGATTCTGTGCAGGTAACCTTCACCTCAATTTGTCCTCACTTGAGGAGTCGATTTCAGACGGAGGGTAGGGCAAACTAGATTACTTAGATAATAGACAGTGGATTGAGGATCGCCACAAGCTCGCGAATCTGCAAGTCTGATGCCAGGCAAAAAATTCCATGCTCATCGACTACAGATCCGGAGAGGTTTGGGGATTTTATTATTGACTCGGAAGAGCGCTCATATGGCCACAGTATCAAGTTTTTGATCACTACAAAGAGCACAACGATACTTTTCTCCCTGAGGTATTATTGATTTTTCTCTGAAGTCTTACAGTCTCACAAGGCAGTCGCGCTTCGGACGCTGAGCTAGTCAAGCTTGAAATAAAACGACAGTCTGAGAATGGACATGATGATGTCGACCGCGAGGGTTCAAGATGATCGAAGACGAGGACCCTCCAGGTTGTGACGCGTGAATGGCTTGGTGGTCACAATTGGGTCACAAAAGTTTCGAGTTATCTCTCTTTCTCTCTCTCTATCATGGACAACACCAGTATGGTCCTCACCGTTCCGGCCTCTCACCGCACAAAGTCATCCGCTGCTCCGTCTTGCGCCGACTGCCATGTTGTACCCTCTTTGACCTCCGAATGCACAGATCAGTGCGTTGTAGTCGCATGCTCGGACGAGGACGCCGTTTGCCGCGACAGCCACTGCGATCTGGTCTGCGAGGATGCTTCAAACTGCCAGGACTGCAACGGCTTTGATGAATTTGTGCGTATCTTTCACTTGTAACGGCGCGTCTAATTCCCGACGCAGCTGCAATGCTGCACCGACTTCCACTCGTACTACGAGGAGCCCCGCAACAACCCAGAGTCATGGAACTGGGATCCATCTCTAAAGACTTTCGTCTGCTCTTGCGGCGGGGGGAGCACCCTTGACTGCGTTCCTCCGGGTGGCATCCCAATGCTTGATGACACCAGTGTTCCAATGCCACCCGTCGAAATCACGCCGGTCCCGACGCCCCCGCCCTCATCGCCGTCCCCAAGCTCTGTGTTCGCAGACTCTCAATCACCGTCTCTTTCATGCATGTGGGGTGACTGTGGAGCGCCCTTTGCCACTCTCGCAGAGCTGGCGGAGCACGTCAACGTCGTCCACCTCGGCCATCCTCTCTCGGCGCCCGTGCCTCCGCACCCGGACCCGTTTGCGATGGCGTGCCTATGGAAAGATTGCACCGTGTATCCAACACCCGACTTAATCCCTGGTCCATCCTCGGGCGATGTCGATTCGATGCTCTGTCGTCTCTCCTCCCATCTTCTGCACGACCACCTCGGCATGAATATCGGGCCTTGCCGCCACCCGCAAGCGCATGGATGGCTTCCTTCTCATTCCCCGGCGGTGTCTTCGGAAACCACCACTCCTGACTTGGAGAATACTATGTCCTGCCGCAACCCGCAAGCTCACGGATGGCTTGCTTCTCAAGCCCCGGCGGTGCCTTCGGAAACCACCACTCCTAATTTTGAGAATGCCGGGCCTTGTCGCTACCCGCAGGCTCATGGATGGCTTGCTTCTCAAGCCCCGGCGGTGCCTTCGGAATTGACCACTCCTGGCTTTGAGTCTTGCCACTGTCCTCTTAATACCAAATTGCCTATCGAAGACGCCCTGGAATTGTCACCGGCGTCGACGGAACCCTCCCCGCCGCTCCCAGACACTAACCCTGTCGGATACGGCTGCGAATGGTCGCTGTGTGGACAGCGCTTCCCCTCACTCGACGAGCTCACGAAACATCTCACCGACGTTCACGTCGGCTCGGGAAAGACGTCTTACGACTGCTACTGGGGCGACTGTCAGCGCCACGGTGAGAACGGGTTTACCAGCAAACAGAAACTCTGCAGACATCTGCAGGTTCGTATTTTTCCTACTCCTACCCCAAATTTTTTATCAACGTTTCATTCAGAGCCACACTGGCTTCCGACCGTTTACGTGTAAAGTTTGTAACCAAAACTTCTCCGAGGCTGCTACTCTGCAGCAGCACATGCGTCGACATACTCAAGAGAGTCAGTAGCCTTCTTTTCACCCTAATTTTCGGCGCTCTTATGACTGGACTCCTAGAACCCTACTCGTGCGACGTTCCGGGATGCGGAAAATCATTCGCCATCGCTGGCGCACTCACCATCCACAAGCGAACCCACTCGGGGTCCAAGCCCTTCAAATGCCCTTCCTGTGATAAGCAAGTGATCCTTTTCCGTGCTTGTTTTTCGACTGACCTCTGAGATAGAGCCTTTTCCGAGTCGTCAAATCTCTCCAAACATGTATGTTGCGGTATACATTTTATGCTTCTATCGCTCATTCTTGTATAGATGCGAATTCATACGGGCTTGAAACCGTATTGCTGCGATGTCTGCAACAAGTCCTTTGCTCGCGCGGACCAGTTGACACGGCATACTCGCGTTCACAACAAGAAGCCCCCCAACGTGTAGCTGTAAACTGAGTGTCATTTCAATCCAGCTTTGTACATCATTGTATACACTAGGTGCAATAGATCGTAAACTACGAAGATTCAGGTAGTTAGAGGCATGGTGTGAGACAAACTAAAGAGCGTGAAGACGTGAGGTTGGTATTGAAGGACTACTCCGTCAATGGCGATCCAAACAATATCAGAAGTGGGGGGTCATTAGGAAAAAAATGAACAGAAAGCATATATGTACCGAATCAATTGGGATTGAGGTTGTCCTGTATCTATATGGTGGATTCCTCAAATGGCCGATTCTTCGCCTAGCCGTGCCTTTCCGCGAACCTCGCCGACGCGGTCTCCGACACTGCCAAACCATTCCTGCGCCTTCAACGCCCGCTTCTCGCCCTCCTCTGCATTCTTCACCTCCTTCCCTCGCTCCTCCATTGCACCGCGGAAACGTTCCCGCAAATCCCACGACGCGAGCCGCAGAACTTTACGCGTTTCCCTACCAATCCGCACAACATGCTGGGACTCCCATTGTTTCTCATCATCTTCCGATGCCTCGACAGACGCCTTGATCCGCCGGCCGACCGTGCGCGGGATCGAGCTCGGCAGCTCGAGCACTACGTAGACGACAGCGCCGATAGTAACTGCTCCGACGACAGGCAATGCCCACTTGCGTGCTGTCTCGTTCCCAAAGAAGTCACTAACCCGAACGATGCCTTCGACGACCCCACGAACGCCAATAGCCTGTCCGCCAACCATGGTGAGAGCTCCAACACCGGCACCAACGACGGTGAGAGCGCCGGGGATCGCGTCAGCCTCCGAGCTGGACTTGGGCGACTCCTTGCCATCGCCCAAGTGCACCCAGAGCTGGTGGTTGACGTCGAAGAGGTCGAGGAAAGTCGTTTCCTGCATATCGGGGCGCGAAGCGAGTCCGATACCAAGCCCAAGCGCACCACCGGCAACGACGATAGCGTTCCCCGCCGTTGCGGGTCTTCAGCGCGCCCTTGCCGCCTGCGACACCCTTGCCACGGCGGACAGCGGAGAACATGGCCTCGGGCATGAAGATGCGGCGGCTGCGCTCAACACCGGCGGGGAGGTGCTCCTCACCGAGGTCTTTGATGCGAGCAACGCCAGAGGACGTGATCCCTCGCGCCTCATCCTCGGCCAATTTCACCGACAGGTCGAGCGAATCGAGGAGGGTGCGGCGGACGTCCCGAGCGTAGTCCCAAACGGCCAACAACCCGGGATAGGACGGGAGCTGGAGGTTACCGAAGGGTTTGCCGCTGCCGACCTGGTCGAGAGCATCGCCGAGAACCTTCTTGGCTTTGGCGCTGGCCTCTCCAACACCGTCTTCCTCGATGCCCTCGAGACCCTCCTCGAGCTTGTCTCGGCCAGACCGCATCTTTTCGAGGACCGGCTTGGCCTCGGCCAGCTCGGCGCGGGCCTGGGCAAGCTCTGCCTCGGCGACGAGTTTGTTGGCAGAGGCGAGAAGCTCGATGTCGCTGAGCAGATTGAGAAGGAAAGTTTCTACGGGCTGGAGCTTGGACTTGGAGCGCTTGGTGAGAACGAAGGAGCGCAGGGCGGCCTCCATTTCCTCAAAGCCATTGTTCTCGGCATCGTCGTTGGAAGCCGAAGCCGAAGCTGAGTCGACAAAGTGTACCAAGTCGCTGGCGTCCTCGTATGTGCGAGGGCTAAGACCCTTGATTTGCTCGAGAACAACACGGCGACACTTGTCCTTGTTGCGGATCTGGTCGTACTTGTTGACGACAATGAAGAGATACGCTTTTTCGTTGCTGGCGGTCCATAAGAACTCTTTTGCCGAGAGAGTGAAGTGGTTCTCGGCAGAGACGACAAAGACGACCACGTCGATCTCCTCCTGGCGTGCGAAGAGAGCGGTGGTCTTAAGAGAGTCGCGGTTAAGACCAGGGGCATCGATGAGGGAGATGTTGACGGTGCCGTTGGACAACAGAGAAGTCTGGTCCTTGCCAGCCAGATAGACCTTGAGCAGATGCTCAGAGCCCTTGGCCTCGTACTCGGCGACAATCTCCTCCAGGTCCTCGATGGCAGCTGCGGTGTAGGTAGACTCGTCCAACGGGTTGTAAGCCGCAGCATCCTTGAGAATGTGCACGGCTTCGACGCCATTGTTTTCAGTAGCATCGTGAACCTCGCAGAAGGCGGTGGTGCACGGCTGCTGGTCGACGGGCATGATCTCGCGGCGAAGGAGGGCGTTGACGAGGGTGGACTTGCCGGCATTGAGGTCGCCGGTGACAAGGACCTTCGAGGAAGTGTCCTGAACCCGGA